AGGGAAAGCGGCACGGAATGGAAACCTCTGCTGTTCCGGCACGATGCCGGCACCAACGAGTGGCGCTACAAATACGAGGAGTGAGTGCTGGCCTTGGGGTTCCCAACACATCTCACTGCCTGATTCCCAGGGATGCAAGCAGGGCTACAGACCTGTCATTGGAGCCCTGCCATTCCCCAAAACTATGTCCAGAGCTTGCCCTTTCTGAGCTCCATGTCATCATTAGAATACATGTTCATTATACTAATTGGGAATAGCTGGAAATGAGGGCGTGGCAATGGAAAATCCACTGTGTCATTGATGAAAATTCCTATTGCTGCAATGACGGGCAGAGTCATTTAGCAGAGCTTTTCTGCACTGTTCAGAGCAGAGTTAACAACTGTGCTCTCCTCCCCTGGGCAACAAGGGCAAAGCCTCTGGAGACTGAACCCCCACACACATTGCAAGGAGCTGTGAATGTGCAGGGAACTTTCTGTTAGTCCTGTCACTGCATCTGGAAAGTCTGGCTACTGTCAGGGATGATTGCCTGCCCTGATGCATGTGGAATTAGTGTATTGGGCTAATGTGGGATTCTTGCTTTTCTGATGAATTTTTCTCATTTGGTCTCAAAAGTCTAAGGCCTTGGGATCCTTTGAACGACATTGCCCAATTTGAGAAGGATGGAATACTTCAGACAATGGAAAGACACTTATCCACAAGGATGTCAAACCACAAAGCAACATGCATAAACAATCAAATTACACGGCACAAGGTAAAAAGCTTGTTCTGGGGATTATCATCTTCTTTGTGATTGTTTAGATACACAGCTCTTTTTCTACAGCATTTTCATGTAAAAGCACAGCATAAGCTGAAAGTTTTGTTTTGGGTAAATATAGCTTGTGACTATAGACCTGCAGTATTATACCATTATTAGCTCCCAAGACTTATAATTACTGATTGATTCATTCTATTAATTTTGGCATTTTTCTTCCACCCAATGCTAGTGGCAGTGACTCTTACACTGAATTTTGCATATGACTGAGCTGAACCTTACTGTTCAGTGTTTCCAAAGCAGAAAACTTCCTGTAGGTTTTGGAGTACATAACTGAGACCCCCTAACTTCAGTTTCAGTCTCTGCCATGAGCCTTTATCATTCACTCTCTCAGACAAGACAAGAAACATCTTTTCATCCTTTCTCTAAAACAGAGGTAATACTCTCCTGTTTTAGTGCTTCCATCTTTGGAGCAATACCTGTCATTCATAACACACTTTGCAAATGTAGAGCTGCTAAACTAGCTAAGTATAACCCATATTACACTGAAAAAGAAGTGAGAAGTTTGAATCAATATGTTTGGTTTGCTCATCTGAGAGAGAGGGAGAAGCTTTCCAAAGTGCCTCAAGAAACTAGACATAAAAATTCCATGATGTTTAGACCCTCCGTGCACCTTCTGAAAAACCATTGCTGGGAAAGTTGATTCTAATTTTTTCTTATTTTCTAGCTTTCTCTTACATACCTGGCAAAGTTAGGTACATATTTCAACAAAGGAACTATAAGGTTCATCTATAGTATGTGTCAATTAAAGCTACAAGAAGAATAATTTGGATAGGTGTCTTAAGAATGTTGTCACTTGGGAAAATGCTTCTGTATGAGGCACATGTATAATATCCTTAAGTAGCTGCCAGAGTCCACTACTAGGAGTTGCTGAGAAAGCAATCAAACTTCACAATCTCACACTTATTTCCCAGCACCCCAAACTGTTTTGTTTAAAGCAATCAGACACCTCTTCAATGTGATAGAGACTGAGTCACATCTAATCCCTGTTTTATCCAGAGGTCTGCCAAAGACTGCAGGCGCCGCAAAACCAGTGATCAGCCTTCCAACCACAGCCAGAACACAGAGAGCAGCTGTTCAACGCCAGAGTCAGTGCAGGAGCTCTCAGATGATGATGGCAAGTATCTGGGTGTCACTGGGTCAGGCTTTAATGTTCTTTCATTGGTACTTTAATTCTTGAGCCAGCCCTGGGACATTTCCCAGCCCAGTTAATACCATGGGCCAGCAGCCCACAGGCAGCACAGGGAATGTTCTGCTTTTCTGTTCTCTGTATGTGCTGTTTCTGCCTTACAACAAGGACTTCCCAACTCCTGGCAAAACTGGAAAAATACAGTGACATTCCAATCAACACACAGGAAACAGGCTGTGTTTCTCTCTCTTTTCTCTGCCTTTGTTAGAGGTGACATTGAATGTTTGAGAGAGTGAGTAGGTGTGAGCACTCCTCTCTCCTCCCCTCATCTGAGGAGCATTGTTTCCTTAGAGCTGACTGAGAAGCACCCTGACCCAGAGTCACAGGAGTGACCTGGATCTTCTGGCTGGAAGATTCTGTTCCCTGTCTCCTCCCCATGTTTCCTCCTGAAAGTGTCCCCCCTAGCAGTGACAATTAGTTCACAGCCACCCACTTGCTGTGTTGTGTTTCCCTACCACCAGAATGGTGATGCAAAACATAATTGTCCTTCAATGCTTTGCCACAGGGTTTGAAAGCCTGTGCGCTCAGTGTGGGAAAGAAATGAACCACCTGAAGGAAATTCACTCAGCTGTCTTATCCCTACAGAAAGCCCAACAGGACATACACAGGTAACTATTTGCTGTCATCAAACAATGAATTTAATGGGTTAAAAATAACTGTGTGGCATTTAACTCTTTACTGTGGTCTTTGAGTGTCTCTGTGAGCTGCAGGAGTGCAGTTCAAATTGTTGTAGATAAAGTAACCACTTATCATACCAGAAGGACAAACCCAGACTCTGCTTGAAACAGTTAACTTCCTCTTAACAATTCCTTTCTGAGCAAAAAGCATCACCTCAGGATGTTATTCAACTCAAGGTACTCCTGACTGAGAAAGACTGGGCCAGGCCCTGGCTAAACATAAATCTCAGCCACCAAGAATGTGTGGCCTTCTGATCCAGCATGTTAGGAACTTCCTCAGTTTGCAGGGTGTGTGTTCTGAAAAACTGGGCTCCATGGAGAAAAGCACTAAATTCCAGTTTTTTGTACAAATTGCTGGTTGTCATCTGAAGGAAACAGTAACCACATCTGCTGCTGACAGTGGGCTTTGCCCTGCAGACTCCTGTGGGGAGGAATTAACTGCTAGTTCAGCTGCAGGGAGCCCTGCTGATTCCTCTCTGTGTGAGGAGTATTATCCAGCCCTGCCAAGGCTTCACTGAGGTGGGATCCCACGTGAAATCTACCCTTTCTGGATGCCAGAGTCATTGGTGATATGCTGTTAGCTTTGCTGTAGCTCCTGGGGATGTCCAGGGCAGGTTTGGGAGTGTTAGGGCACAGGTTAAACTCACAGGGCTATGAGTGAGTGCTGGATGAAGAGATTTCATGGGGTTTGTGCCCTTCCCATGCCAACCAGCTGCAGCCAGAAGCACTAATCTTCCTATTAAAAAGGGAGGCAAAGTCTGGGGGGGCACACTGCTCTACCCCTGAGGGTGTCACCAAAGTGCAGGGTTCCCTCCTGGTGGGGAAGTTCGTGGTGTGCACACGTGTGTGAAGGCACACTTCTCTCCAACACACAAATAATCATGTTGCTTTCTTTTGCAGAAACCTCAGCGCTCTGAACAAAAAGTCCTTCCACAGGAAGGCCTCTTCTGAAAACTTCCTCCTGGACTCTCGCTGTTGGTTTCTCCTCTGCATCTTTCTTACGTGTCAACTCTTCATTAATTATGTCTTCAAATAAAATCACTACATTTGGCAGCAATAATGATCACTGGCTGCAGGAGGGGGCCACTCGCGCAAGGAGCCCAGCGAGGCACCAAAGCACTTTAGAACCAACACGGCAGAGGTGGAAGAAAGTGGAAAAACGAGGTTAAAAAGGGACCTAGGAACCTGCAAAACTTTGTTCCTGCAGATTATGTCATTTTTTGCCTTTTACATGTACATCTTCAAGGACCTCTTGACCTGTATGGGCCTTAATGCTGAAGCCAAATGTAGCTTTAATTGTGCAATTTGTTTTCTATGTTTTGTCATTTTCTGATTCAATTAATAATTACCCAGCAGTATTGGTAACCCCAAAATGATAATCACCTCAACATTTTGGAAAAGTCATGGTGGCCTGGGTCATAGCTCCAGGAGTGAGTAAGAGCAGTTGAGGAGCTGTAAAGAACTGATGTCCACGGTGCCTGTCCGGCTGCCTTTAATTACAGGAGCGAGTTGATGTTGGTCCAAAAAATCCAGCCCTGGGATATTAAGTCATCTGTTTAGTCAGCCCACGCAGAATGGGACCTCAGGATATGTTTTATTTTCCATTCCACAGAAACTGTAAATATACACAATTTCCTAGAGCCATTCTGCTTTAGGAAATGGGAAGTATCCAGTGAAAGCTCCTCGTCTGGTTACGGAGCTGACTGGTGTCCTGGGTCTGGCCCTTCGAGGGTGATGTCAGACACGCACGCCTGTTTGTAAAACCTGGTCACTTACTCTTCTTGTTATTTGCTATATGGCTGTTTTATAATATCACACACTAGCATTGTAGAGAGAAATCCACTGCCCCAGCATAGGTGAGGAGGATGGGAGCGATGTAGGTGTACGTGTGTTTGGTCTTAGGCACATTTATTGTCAAAGGTCAGGAAAGAGGGAGGGTTTTGCCACTGCATTGTTCAACCCTGTTAATAGTCTTCCAATTTTACACCATTTTTTAAAGATTTGCAATATTTTCTGTAGACTGCAGACAATACTAAGCCTTTCTTTTCTGGCCTGAAGTAGTTCCAAGTGGTAAGTACTGCTATATATACAGCCTTAAAATACTTAGTGGTGGTGCCAGTCTGGGCTATCTTTCAATGTAAATGTTTCCAAATTTTTAAGTACATTCCTTGTCATATTCCCCAGTTAGGGGAAACCTGTTTGTGCTTGATATGTTGAAATAAAACTACACACAACTTTCAGTGGCAGTCTATCTGACAAATTATTTTTGGGTTTGTGTTTGGTAGTATTTTAAAAGTAATTTACTTTCTAGATGAAAATCTGCGGGAAATTGCCTCTAAGAATATCAGACCTGGGCCATAAGTTAGAATGGCAATAGCAGTTTGATACTACTCTGGCTGAAATTGTCAGAAATTGTCTGAAATTGTCTTCTCATTGTAGCAACTTCCACAGAAAGAGAAGTGGTTTCCGTGATTTTCACTTTTGTACATGCAAATGTACAAACTTATCTTGGACTTGGGAAACCTTTATATCAAGGACTTGAGGATAGGGAATAGATTGTTCCACAGAGAGAACTGCAGCTCTCTGATATGAACAGGCAGAGTAAGAGCCTGCATCTGTAAGCTGACATTCAGGAAACTGATCACAAATGTTAAGGGCTGAGAGTGGCTTTGTTATTAGCAAAAGTCTCCAGAAAACCAAAGCATCCTTCATCCTTGAGGAAACAACCTTGGAGAATATCAACATTATTGACGCAGATTGGGTGCCTTTTTGAAGGATGTCATCCTAGTCACTCTTTCTGAGGAAGTCAGACCCATGCCACATGTGGTGTAAAACTCAGTGAGAGGGCACTGCCTCTGCTTTCCAGGCTGTGCAATGTTCCCTATGCAGCTCCAGAGTGTTTGCTTCTGCTTGGATGTATCCAAGTGTTTGGATGTAAAGCTGTGCAAACAAATTACTAATCTCCTTTGAATGCTTAGGCAAGCCGGCACATCTCTGGCCTGGCAGCACAGCCTTCCTCATCACTCTCATCCTGGTTCTGCAGCATGTATTTTGAGTTAAAGATAGGAGCCTCTCCACGTCAGTAGGGCTATTTGCATCCCTTGGGTACAGCTGTATCCCAGCTTTGGGAAATGGTTACCAAACAACAACAGAAAAAACCCAAACAGCCCAAGCCCCCAGAACCAAAGAGAAGAAGTGCTGAGCAGAAAGCCTTCAGTAGGTGTAAATATGAATGCAGGAAATTGTTTGAATGATTTCCGTTTTACCAAACTAAGCACCCACAGGGATTGCACTAGGACTTGTAACTGCAGTTGAGTAAAATAAACCTTGTTACCACAAGAGCAGCAGTTCAGTGAAAGAAACTATCAACAAGTTAATTCAGCATCAGCAGAGGAAGAGTTTCCAACATTTAAGGGCTGCTGTCACAGAGGATTAAAAATTAATCCAAAAAGGAACAGCCTATGAATCCTTGTGCCATTAATTTTAATCCAGTTTCAACAGTCTGGAGGTGAATGTTCCTACACGCACATGGGAAAAGAAAAGTATTCTTGAGGAAAATCATGGCCAGAAACGTTATTTTTCTGGGGAAGAACAACTACTGAGGAGAAACGTGAGAAAAGCCCAGTTATGCACTTCGTTTGCGCCATATTGGGAAATTTCTCCTCACAGCCTTTCCCGCTGCTTTTGTGATCAGGGCGGACAGCCCTTCAGCACCTGCGGCAATTAACGCCACCTTCTGCCGGAGGGAGGCGGGACGGCCCGAGAGCCGCTGCCCGCCTGCCCCGCCCGCCCCCGCACCGGAATAAGAGGCGGCGGCGGCGCAGGACGGACCCAGAGCGATGGGTACCATCATGGGAGCTGGGCGAGCGGCGGGGCTGCTGCTGGTAAGTGCCATGGGAGCTGGGGCTCTATGTCCCACTGGTGGTAAGTGCCACGGGAGCTGGGGCTCTATGTCCCGCTGCTGCTGCTGGTAAGTGGCCGCTGGGGCTCTGTGCCCCGCACCTGCCTGCCGCGAGTGGCGGCTCGCAACCGTCCGCAGCCAGAACTTAAATCCTGTCTTTTGAGGCGGCAAAAGTCTTCTTCTAGCTCTAGCGTGAAGGAGCCTTTGGGTTTTTCTGTACTTTTCTTCTTTAAGAGACTTTGGTAACTTTTTCGAACTTTTTGTTCGTGTTTGATGTCTAGGGAAAGTTACGGCAGCGCCGCTGGCATGAACCCAGCGCCCTCAAGGAATGTATCGCATCTCCCTATGTGTTCGTATCGCACTCGCTGCTGCCCTTCCCTCTCTCCTCAGAGAAAAAATAAAAGTTACAAGTCAGGAGTGAGGTCTTTAATACTCCTCGGGTTATTTAAGTGTGAAACTGGGAGTTTTCTCACCCCCCACAGTTAGGGGGAAGATTTTCAGTCTACCGAGGAGAGAGTTTAAAGAGCGGGACCCTCTTGGTTTTAGCTGAGGCGACGCCCGCTGATGAGAGTTAGTGCCGGGGAGCTCGGCGTGCTGGCGGGCTCTTCCCCCCCTCCCGCTGTTGCTCTGGAGGATTTCTCTCCGTGCGCGAGGAGAGGTGACTCAGCGGGACCGGGCGGGCGCTCGCCTCTCTGGAAGCGCTTGGATGTAGTGCGCGGTCTGCACCTTTCTTCCTCTTAAAAAAAAAAAATCATTCCCGATGCTCCTGTAGTATTGCTAATGACTCGACTTCTGCCTAAGATTCGAGCCAGTAAGACGTGTCCGAGGAGACTGTGGGGCGTTTCCTCAATTTTGCGGGAGCGAGACTAGCACTGATTCTGATGAATTAAAAGGATGGGGGAAGGAAGAAACTAATCCCTTGCACACCGCAAAAACTTTGGCGTCTGCAGCTCAACTGTAGCGAGATAGTGGAAAGAAAACAAAAGTTTATGTGGAGGCAGGAACGTGTGGCAACAGTTGCCTAAAGCCCATCAGCTGCAGCACGGTGCTGCCTTAACCCCAGCTTTGTGATGGCAATTACTGCTGTGAGCAGCACTTAGCAGAAATTAGTTTGGGTTTCCTCTGTGGCTTCCCATAAATTTCTGAATGTGTTTCCACGTCTTCACAAGTTAATCTCCCCAAGATAGTTATCATGTCCGTGCAGGATGACTCACTCAAAAGACCTGTTTTCCTCCGCTGTAGGTTGTGCTACTGACGATGCCTGGAGCCCAAGCGAACTGTGGGGAGAGAGAGTACTCCCATCTGGGTCTCTGCTGTGTGTTTTGTGAAGCAGGTAAGACTGAGCAGTTACAGCTGATAGCAATTGCTCCCTACATTGCGTGCTGGCAAAGTGTGAGCCTGGTTGGAGCCGTGAGGACTTCTTGGTGCTGTAAAAGCTGGGCTCCATTTTGAAGTGGAGCCCCTTATTGCAACAGGTGGTGACTGGGAGCGGTGCTTTGGCATCAAGCCAGGATGCCTTTGCTTGTGGTTGAGGATAAAGTTTTTGAAGTTAATTGATTTAGTTAACACAAAGAACAGGCCTAGGAGAATTCTGACATTTCTGTGTCTGTAGGCAAAGCTTCAGTATGGTTTTGCTCTCCTCTCCTTGCTCAATGTGTGCAGAGCTAACAAGTTTTGCACTGAGAAGAAACCTCTCATTATTATCAGAAGCTTACTGGTGCTTTTAGGTAGGATTCACACAAAGGAGAAAAAAAAGTTTATTGAAAGCAACACTCCCTGGGCTTGCCCCTTTCCTTCAGCAATGGCACCATCCACAGGCTCCCTCCTTGCTGCAGTGACTCATCCTTGCTGCAGTGACTCATCCTTGCTGCCTTGCTGGATACCTCGTTTTGCACCTCTCCCTGTCTGAGTGGCAAATTGCAAATGTGCCTCCTGACTCTCCTGTGCCTATTGGTTTGTGTGGCATGTGATGGGTTTGCAAGGAAGAGTTGAACCTTTCTCAGAAATTTGTGTTGTAATATCTAGGTTTAGCCCTTTGTCTGTCAAAAGACCCCAAGATTGCTGCTGCTGCCAGTTCTCTTCTCCCACAGGTACCTTTGTTGCTGATCACTGCAATGCTTCACATTTGCAAGGAAAATGTGACCCTTGCAAGGAAGGAAAAAGCTTTACTGCCCATGCCAACGGCTTGGAGCAATGTTTGACTTGCAGACAGTGCAAAGAAGGTACCAAACCTTATGAAACCTTAAAAATTTCCCCCTTTTTAATGTGAAAAACCTGGTCTTCACTGGGCATATTGAACTTAAAAGTAAATCGCCTTTATGGCCTGAGTATAATCTTTGCACTTGCTAACTTATATTTTATTTTTAGATCAGATAACTCTGAGACCCTGTACCCTGACACAGAATGCTGAATGCCAGTGCAAACCAGGGTATTTCTGTGAAGATGAGGGCTGTGAAATATGTCGGAGAATCAGTCAAGAGTAAGTTTGAGAATAAGTTGCTATTTTCCTTCTGGGGAATGTTAGAGCTGTGGCCCAATCTGTGCCAATAGTTAACACATGTCATCGGGCTGCAAATAATTGCCCTGAAGCCAAATGGCATTATTCATGCATTTAAATTTTAGGTGTCAAAACCTGTGATGTTGAGACCTAGAAAGACGTGGACTTGGGTATGATTGTGCTTGTTGCTTATGGCTGTAAATTGGCATTTTTCATGTCTTTGGGTTGGTATTTCCACAGAAACGTATATTTGAATGAATTTTCTAGCACCCAGCTTAAAATTTTAGTATGTAGAACTACATGTTGAAGGCAACTAACCATGCATGAATAATGCCTATACTCTGTGGCTTGTTTTTTTTTTTCCCCTTCACTTAGACGCTAACATAGGTGAATTTTATCTGCTTTGCTTTCATTTTATCTTGCAGTTTTGTTATGGATTGTTTAAAGGTACACCTCTATCAGAGTTTATGCATGTTTCATTCATAGTTCTGAGCTCTGTCTGAAAAAGAATCATGCCTGGACAGAGCTATGTACTGATCTGGAAATGTTGATACAATGTTCTGTTACCCTCCACTTCAGGCATCTGGACGGGAAAGAAATCATGAATTCCACTGATACCACGGCTCGAGACTTAACTAATCAAGGTCTGTTACACAAATCCCACTCACCTTGGTTTGTTGGGTCTGTGGCTTCAGGCTAATAACACCAGAGTAGTCTGTAAAGCAGTGGTTTCAACTGCTGTAATGTACTTAAGAACAGCTGCCTTTTAGTCTGGGAGTTATTTGCTAAAGACAAGTTCTCAAAGGGGTTGTTGGGGTAAACCACCTTGAGTTTCACTTGGTGAAAAGCTACATGTGTTGCCAGGGTTCTTCAAGTTGCAAGGGTGACCCAGTTGAAAGTTCTGGGTAGTGTGAAGATGTTTACTGTGCCTGGAGTGGGTTCCTCTTTTGCTAGGAATGTTCCCTGTCCATGCTACAGCACCCAAAGCTAGCTATCCTCTTTTGCTTACTTGTTTCCCCTTAAGTGTCTCTCCATAAAACCTTGTGGAAGTTGCATTGCAGCTCTCTGCAGAGTTCCCTGGTGCCTTTGGGAGCACCATGTGCAGTGCAAACAAGTGCTCACATGTTCAGGGCAATGTGTCCATAAGAGTGCCAGGAAAAACTGTCTGGGTTATTGCATTAATTCTGGGCTTAGGTTTTTCTCTAGGACAGCAAGGAATATCTTTTGGGGGGACGTTTTCAGTACTAATTTTTTTTTCCTTACTTTGCAGTGAAGGAAGCTCATGTTTGGTTTCTGGTGCTTGTGTCGGCTGCTTTGGTTTTCCTTGTCATCGTCGTTGTTGTTCTTGTTAAAAAGCTGAAGTGTAATAAAGGTAACTGCTTGATTATTATCCATGAAATTTGCTTTCCACAGCTGGACAAAGCGTGCACTAGGGCTGTCCCTGGTTCTTGTGTTGCCTTACAAGGGAGCTGTTTAACCTCTAGTTTATTTTGTGTGTGATTGAAATTAGCAAATGAGTAAAGGGGAAGAGTAGTTTTGCTTGGTAAACAAAATGCATAATCCTTAACTATGAGTTTTCTTATCTTGCTGACAAATGCCTCTGCTTCAAAGCAAGATTATCATAAGGTCCTTAAAAAGGACTTCTCCAATCAACTTGCCTTGCATTGGCAAAGAGGAAAAACCTGTGTGGGGGTTTAGGTGCATGGGGCAAAAAGTAGCAACTAATAAGATCACTAATTCCTTTCATTGTGTTTGGTTGTGGAGATTTTTTTTTTTGGTACAAATTGGTTCCCTTTAGTAATTTGAACCTCTTAATGTGAATATTCAAGTTGGTAAGTACTGTGTGAATTTATTTTGTAGTGGAAACTGAGCTGTTTTCCTTGGAAACTTCTATTTCTACTATTGTGTTTCAAAGTATTTTTGCTACTAGCATGGTTAAAATAATACTGAAAGCCATTATGAATCTTAAGTACTGGGTTTGTTGAAATCATGTCTTACTGATTGTATTGCAGTAAAGACAATTTCTGCCTTCTGTATTGCAATAGCCTATGAAAATTCTGAGAAACAAAAGCTGGAGTAGAAGATGAAGTGGCTTAGAAGTCAAACAGCATCTTGTAGTCTTCATTTTGCTAAGCAGTATTAAGGCACAGTATTTGTGTTGTTGCTAAGGGTTGTACTGGGATGAAATATATGACCGGTCAAAGAAACTGAATGGCTTTTAAAAGCTTTGGCTGTGTTACAAAAGTTTCTATTGTGTATAAGTCTTGTGTGATTTCAGCCATGTTTAAGTTGCTGCAATTCTTATAAATTGCTCAGACACTTTTTTTTTTTTTTTTCAGCTGCTGCAACTGTTAAAGATATAGAGGGGCATCTGGTAAGTATGTGATGGACGCAGTGTTTAATCTCTAATTGCTCACAGCCTAATTGTACCTGACACACAGCTCTCAATGTTTGTCTCACTGTAGATCTCTGCTAGGATGTGTTCCTGTGGTGCAACAAGTTGTGATTCATGCAAGGTCAGAAATCAATTATCAAGTGTCTGATGCATTCAATAGCTGCTGGTGTCTCCCTGTCAATACTGGAAAACACTTCAGAGCTTGTGACCAGGATGCTTTGGAAGTGGGGAAAAAACTTGGACTAGCTGCAAGTTTTCACTTCAGACTGTCTCCAAGTGATACCTTGATCCAATTAATTTATTTTTTGCTGCTTCCCATGTGATGGCAGCTATTGTTTGGTGTTGCAGCATGGTGGTGTTCCAGCTCTCAGTGCACTGTTCATAAGACTTAACCACTCCTGATCCACTAAGTGATTGAGTCTTCCTGCCTCTGGGCTCATGTCACAAGCTACAGACCAGGACCTGACAGTCTGAATTCTTGGTCCTAAGCAGTCCCAAAAGAGGAGGATTTCATGGCTCAGAGCATGCCAGTCTCAAAGTACATCCCTGAAAAGGGTTTATCCAGCTGAGACTGACTGCTGGCATTTGCTCCAGCTTGAAGCTGGGTATACCCTGGCATCCAGATGCTATTTCAGAACTGTACTGTTTGAGTCTAAAAAACCTATTGCTAGTCCAGCATTCTGCAAGACAAACACAAGGCTGGAAGAAGTAAATACAAGCTGGCTTTAACTTCTCTAGTTAGAAACTACATCACTACCAGCACCACAAGGCAAAAATGAGCTCAGTCTTAGTTTTACAAAACAAGTGTTAGTCTTGATGAGCAACTAGGAAGAATATCCATACTGTTCTCAGTGTGTGTACAGCACTTTTTTTTTTTTTTCTCCCTGGAGCTTCTCTTGTCCCTCACCAATGCATTACCCACCCAGTGTATGCACTCTTGTCTAATGTTACTAAGTAGACATTTTGAGTAATTAAATGCATTTTAATTATGTCAAAAATACTTGAAGACTGAAGAAACAGAATTGAAAGATGTTCAAAGGCTCACCCTAAACTCTGCTCTTTTTCTTTTTTAAGGTCCATAAGTGGCTCAAATATGTGAAACACCCTAGGTTTTTTGTTGGGTTGTATCTCCCCTCACACCCTGGCCAGATTTGCAGCACTTCACCTATTTATAGAAGCTGATGAAGAAACGTGACAAAAAACCTGGTCAAAAAATGCTGTAGCATAGGAATAGCAAATATAACATGTCTTTAATTTCAATAAAATAGTTGCAGAATGGTGCAGTTACAAATTGGTGCCCGGTGCCACTTGTCTCTCATGTAAGAGCTGTCACAGGCAGATGCAAAGTCTGCACTTGGAGTGCTCATGCTGCTGTAAGAGCTTCTTTGCTAAGGAGAGTTCCACTGATGCAGTCCTGAGACTGAGTATTTTGGCACTCACACACCCTCCCAAAGACCCAGTGAATGCATACAGCACTAATGCCCCCAACAGCTGCTGATGATACTTGAATAGCTGGTGCTGGGTTTTGAAACAAAAGACAGTGCTCTTTCAGTCGTTTGTTTTCCTGTTTAAGAATTATCCTGTATAAATAAGATCAACTTCTATAATGTGCTTATACCCATAAACAGAAAGTGTTTCAGTGAGAATGATGTACAACTATCTGTGTCATATGTAGGGGGGTTCCCCCTCACATCCCCACTTATGCATGTTGGTCATGGGGTGGTGTCACCTGTGGGTCACTGTCACTGTGCAAACACAAAGCATGCTGGCTTATGCTTACAAAGGGCTTGTACCTTAATAAACACAAGTCTCAGGGGCAGAACAGTAACTCCTCATCCTCGTTTTCCACATATAAACAAATCCTCCTAAATCTTGCCAGCTTTAGCACTACCTGTCACATGAGACATGCTACTCTGCTTTGTGCTTGTACTGGTCATGCTGACCTGGTGCTGTACTCTCTGGCTATGCTTGTTTAATGAATTGATAATGCCAGAAATGAAGGGAGCCTTCCTTGCTGGCTTCCCTCCTTCTCCCCTCACAAAAACTATGCCATGTACATAGGTGCTCACCTGCTTCTTTCAATTGATTATAGTTTGTGAACTCACCAGGAGAGCTAATCCAGTCACAGACAACCCAAGGTAGTGCACTACTATGTAGCTGACAGGCTACTTGGCAACAATTCTGAGTATCAGCCTTGACACAGCAATAGCCTTGGGGCCCCTGGTGCTGTTAAGTCATCTCAGGTGTAGCCAGGCAGTTTAATTCCCTCCTGTCCTAGAAGCAGTACCTGCCTTCTGTACCTAGAGAGGAGCAAGCAGCAATCCACATCAGCAAGAACATTAGGAAAAGTTTCCTGTGGTTGTTGTGGAGGCAGCTTGTGTGCCTTACCCTGCAGTCTGGTGGGTGCAGAACAGCCAGGGAGGTGGAGAGTCAGGCTTTGAAACCATCTTGTCACAATCTGCTAGTACAAGTGGGGGTTGTGATGGTTTGTTTCACTAATCTCAGAGTGCAAAAGACACAGCAGGGGACTCTCAGTATTAATCAAAACAAATGCACCTTTTCATTGAGTGCCCATAGCAAATGTGATAGAAGGAATAGAAAGGAGATAAAGGATAGAGGGAGAGAGAGAAAGACGGGGGTGGGAATAGCTACCAAGGGAGAGACAAAATCCTCGTGCTCCAGCCAATAGATCTGTCTTGTCATGTTGGGGAGAATCTCAAAGTCTTTGGGTCTTTTATAGTCTTATGTTGAGGGAACAGGTACAGTACAGTGGAGAATAAGTTCTTGAGAACAAGTACAGACAGTCCAGTTCTGAACAGAATAATTCAGTCCCAGCAGTGGGCAGGACCCATTGTTTCAGGACTGGGTCCCATGGGAAACCAGTCTTGGTCCAGCAAACACGCCTGTAGGCAACACTTGGCAGACATCCTGCTTCAGACAGGCCAGCACCCCTGTGTTACAATTTTAAGGGTCTCAGTCCTTGGGGGGACTTCAATCTCCATCCTTGATGGTGATGGTGTGGCATGTGAGGGATCTTCCGTGGGGGATCACCAAAGTTACCCCAGAAAGTCAGTCCTTCTCCAAAGCTGGTGGCATCTGGCCAAGAGGTGGGGACATGCAGGGGCTATTGTGATGAGTGGGTATTGTGCAGCAGGTGTAAGTGCACAGAGTGAGCTGCTCCTTGTCAGGCCCTGCCCAAAGCAGTGCACCGTGGTGACACAGCAGCACACCTGGGAACAATCACTTGGCAAGCTCCCACCTCAGCCAGGCCAGAACTCCAGTCAGGGTCTTCAGCGTCTTGGTGTCTGTCCTTGCGACGGTTGTGAGGCAAAGGAGGGAAACTTTGGATCATCTCTTGTACATTTGAAGTCTAATTCTGTAAAGGCTGTTACTTTGCCAAATTATCAGCTCTTCTTTTATGTCTCTGACATCTGGTAGCTTCAAGTATTTCCTTTTCTTCCCCCAGAAGAAAATAGTGGAAAATAGTGTGGTTTCTGAGCAGGGCACTGTCCTGTGCAGGAGCTGGAAGTGCGGTATGACAGTGTGGTTGAGGAGGATTGCTAAGTCCTCATTGGCAGCAAAACCTGTGCAGAATTCTGCTTTTCAGCAGACTGCCCTATCTAATGTTCCAGGTGGAACTCCAGCAAATTGTAAGATAAGTGTACGTGTGTGAAATGATCATTGCATTTTCTCTAATATAGGTATCCCTTTAGTTGAGCTCGTAACTATTCCCAGAGCTTTCAGCAAAACAACAGAGGAAACTTTCACTTAAAGATGTAATAGGAAGTATGGGAAGTGATAGCCTGGAGGAAAAAACCTTCAATCCCTCATTTAATTTACTCTGCCTCTTTCACCTCCCTGACAGAAGGTACTGTTTTGTGATAGCAGCAAATGTTGCCTTGGAGCCAGTAACGTGTTTGTTTCACGATGCAATTTTCTTTATTCCAATACTTTCAGGTCTGCTCTGAAATCTGCTTTCCTTCCCCTCTTTGCTGTGTGTGATGTAAAAGAAAGTTGTCAAATAGGTAAAAACAATAGTGAGTGAAACACCCTGATTTATTGGAGTAATGGTCCAACTTTGTATTACAGATATGACATCCAAGTCAGATAATTGTTAAAGATCTCTCTCAACATGGTAAGTATCCCATAAATTGGCTGTACTTGGAATTTGGTTTTATTTCCTGTTGACTTCAGTCTACTTACGGAATAGTATAAAGAGGCTAATGAATATTGCTTAGAGCTATAAGGCTTCCAGTTTATTGTAAAATGTGCTGAAACAGGATTATTGCTGCATTTGTAATCGCTGTGGTGAACTGCTCTACTTTGGAGCATGACTTTTCTGTATGGGAGTATAGCACAGTCATGATTTTAAGAATGGTACCAATTTTTGAAAAAAGTTTTAAACTGAGTCTGCATTGCAGCAGTGCACTCTGCTTTACTGAGTGAGGTGTAGGTCAGAGTGAGAGACCTCTCTGTCAAATGTCCCCTCACATGGAAGAGCACATCAAACCTCCATACACCCTCCTGTAGGCAGAAAATGGTTGTGCTGGATGTCCAAGTGATGGGTTTTGCTCGTGGTGGTCTTGGTGTGGCCAACCGGTGCCAGCAGCATGATGAAGTAGTTAAAACTTCCTCTTCAGTAGCCCTGCCAAGGGAACATGCCAGCCAATGAAGCCTTCCTCAAAACCAGACAGTGGATGGTGTCCTGCCTTAGGAGACCACTACTGAGAATGCACCAATACCTTTAGCTACTTTCAAGACCACTTAATAGAAAAATTATTTGTCCTGCTGCTTCTTAGGTGCCAAACCCAGCTGCCTTGCTGCTGCTGTTTGGTCTGTGCAGGTATTGGCTGAAAATTAAGGGGAAAGTATGTGTGTGAGCTATGGAAAAAAAAAACCCTGTGTTTTAAAGTCCAAGCTGATGTGTGTTGTGTGTTTCTTCTTGCAGAACTGAGAAAGGCCTTTGGTGTCTTTACAAAGGAAGTACCACCACAACAGTGGAAGCAGCTTATGAGAACTCTTCTACAGGAAAATGATATTGATAAAGTTATATCTAAATTTCCTAATAACAGAGAAGAACAATCATATCAGATGCCTCTCATCTGGAAAAAGAGACTGGAAAAGAAGCAATGTATTATTTATTTACTGGATGCATTGAGGTACATAGATACCAAGGTTTATTACAGTGTATTAAATACTTTAAAAAGTCATAACACTGTAAGTAGAAGCTGAAGATTAATGTTTATGAGGAACTGCAAAAATGTTCCTGTGTACATATGTGTGTCTTCAGACTTCCTTAAATGAGGGTGTCAGGAACTGCTGGTAGAAATAGTTAGCCTCCTCAACTCATGGAGACAACTGGAAGGGATGTAATACCTCTGTTTTTTTCATGTTTACATGACCTTCCTACCTCTGAGTCATAAAATATTAAACACAGGTGCTGGATGCCCACTTCGGAGCCAGGAGCTGGGACATCCCTTAGTTTGTGACAGTGCTGTCCCAACCTGCGGGCGGGTACCAGGCGTCCGCTGCTGTTTTTGCGTACTGCGATGCTTTAGTTTCCGAAACCATTTTGTGTTGTATCGGAGTGCTCAGCACCACTGTGTTTGAAGCACAGCAATAAAACCGTGGCTCAGACAGAAGCTGGCTCTGGGACTTTGTTCTGGCGGCGGCGCCTCCATCCTTGGGGCTATTTAAGGAAAGGCGGGCGGCGCTGCTCGGAGGGGGGACTCCTCCGTTGGCACGATGCCCTGGGCGGTCATTTCTCGGCCGGG